CCCACAGCTTCATCTGGGTGGCTGGTCTCAGATGATCCTGCAGGTGAACAAGCCAGATGTTGAGGTCCTAGGCCGGCGTGGTTACGCGTGGTCTGCGGTTGTGAGGCCGGTTGGACGTACTGCCGAATTCTCTAAAATGACGTTGGAGGCGGTTTATGGTAGAGAAATTAACATTCAACTGGTGGACATTCCTGCAGTCAGCATGCCAATTGCACGCTCCCTCAAAACTTGAGACATCTGTGGCATTGTGTTGTGTGACAACTGCACATTTTAGAGTGGCATTTTATTGTCCCCAGCACAAGGTGCTCCTGTGTAATGATCAGGCTGTTTAATCAGCTTCTTGATATGCCACACCTGTCAGGTGGATGGATTATCTTGGCAAAGGAGAAATACTCACTAACACGGATGTAAACTAATTTGTGCACAACATTTTAGAGAAATACGCTTTTTATGCGTATGGAATATTTCTGGGATCTTTTATTTCAGCTCATGAAACAAAATGGGACTTGTTGCATTTTATATTTTTGTTCAGTGTAGTTTATAAGTTGTCTTTTACCTCCAGCGATTTTGATTTGCAATATTGTGTTATGTACGGTACTGTACATTGTTACCGCAATTAGAATTCATTATATTTGGGTTACACGCCTGGCTTGTGTTAACTTCAAAAGGGACCACGGTGAACCTAAAACCATTCGTCCTTAATGATCTAGTACATTCTAACGAGGCATGTTTTTGCCGAGGTTGCCGTAACACTAAACTCTGTGTTTGTTTTTGTTTGCCCGGCTATGTGTGGTGTATAACACCTCTGTGTGTGTTTTTGTGTGGCCAGCTCTGCTTTGTGGTGTTCTGGACCCCTCACATCTCTGAGAAGATTCTAGTGAATGTGATTGGGGTAGACCTTGCCTTCGCTGAGCTCTGTGTGGTTCCACTGAGGATTTTCTCCTTTTTCCCTCTGCCAGGTAAGAAGTGTACAAAGTGCATAATGGCTCAGTTGGTTGCAGCATGTTTGCAACACTAGAGTTGTGAGTTTGATTCCCCTATGGCCCACACATACTAGCTGTATATAATAGGAAGAGTCACAGGAAATGTCTGCTGGAAATGTCTGACCATTTAGGATTAGTCACCAAAATAAGCCTCCTAATATGTATTGTCCTGACCTGTTTCTCTCCTATCTGAGTACGAGGGTTTTCTGTGTGTGGACATGGCCCAAATGGCACCCTTATTCCCTATATAGTGCACTACTTTGGACCAAAACCCTATTGACCCTGGTCAAAGCTAGTGCGCTATAAAGGGAATAGGGTGCCATTTGGGATGCAACCATGGTCTGCTGAGACAGCAGTCTGTGATGTGGTATTTCCACTGACTCTGTCCCCTATGTGTTTAGTGACAGTCCGGGCCCACCTGACTGGCTGGCTCATGACCCTGAAGAAGACCTTTGTGCTGGCCCCTAGCTCTGTGCTCCGCATCATCGTCCTCATCACCAGCCTGGTCGTGCTGCCTTATATGGGGTAGGTGGACACCTCACTGGACACAGACCAGTGTCTGTATCCCAAATGGCACCCTATTCCATTTCTATTGCACTACTTTTGACTGGTGCACTGTAAAGGGAAAATAGTGCCATTTAGGACACATGGTCTGGGTCCTTTAGCTAACATGTATGAGTTCCTGATTCACCACTCTCATAATAATGTAAGCTATGATGTGGCATGAGAGATTTGATATTGTAACGAGCCTGTATGGCCACCGAAACTCACACGTAGTCTTTTAACTAGCATAAACAGCCCATGACGATAATTTCCCATGAAATAACCAAGTTGTTGTTTATTTGGATGAACATAGTGCGCACCAACCTGACGCACACAAGCGCCTCTAGAACTGACAGACCCAGCATGCCCCAGCGTCATCACCTACAGCAACTAATTTGCATAACATTGTGTGATAGGCTGAGAGATGAAACGGCTTCTATCTCCAGGCCATCAGACTGTTAAACAGTCACCACTAGCTGGCCTCCACCCAGTACCCTGCCCCTTAGAGACTGCTGCCCTATATACATAGTCATTGAACACTGGTCACTTTAATAATGTTTACATACTGTTTTACACACTTTATATGTATATACTGTATTTTAGTCAAGGCTCATCCTATATAACTACTGCTGTACACATCTTTCTATTCATGTACTGTCTTTACACACCATTATTTGTATATATATATATATATATTTATATTCCAGTCTCTGACATTGCTCGTTCTGATATTTCTTAATTGTTATTTTTCTGGATTATGTGTGTACTGTTTATATTTTTGTGTTTTACTGCAATGTTGGCGCTAGAAACACAAGCATTTTGCTTCACCTGCAATAACATCTGCAAATCTGTATAGCAACCAAGAAACTTTGATTTGATTCGACACATTACAATATGATGACTTATGTTCTGTTCTAGAACTGGATAGCTAAAGATGGTTTATTTCAATTCAGCAAACTTTGTTTATTGCTCAGTGTGACATTTTGATTGGATTCCAATCTGACGCGGAGTTGAGGAGCTGCTCTCTGTTTCATGATAAGCAAACATGAATAGAAATGTATTCAGATAAGAGTTTAAATCAGGAATATGTAAATGATCACCGTTCACCACATCACCTACCATCAAATGCAGACTGTGCAAATTCAGTGTGAGGGTATGAGTTGATGGGTTCTCTGCGGTTTTATATTTAGTCAATAGCCTCATTTAAATCTTTAGACCAGTTCTTTGTGCATGGTTTTAAATTAAACATAAAGTAGCATAATAAATATATATATATATATATATATTAGTCTGAGTTAATAAAACATGCATCTATGTGCAATGCTCAGATGTATGCTCAAAGCTAGTGTTTGCTTTTTGCTGCACCAGAATTCGACCCATCGACAACACTAGCTGCCCTTTTACCCTACCTTATCTGTAAATGCAAGTGAATATGTTACTGCCATTTCTCGCAAAGCCATTTCTGTCTGAACCGTATGCAACAAAGCGGTGTCACTTCAAGATGGTAGTTTCACTGTGGGCCAACGGTATCTGAGCATAAATCACTGTAAAGACTGACCATATAGAGAGGATATTTCTTCCATCGCTTAGCAACACCTCATCCGGACTGACAAGCCGAAGCCAGTATATCAGACCTGCTGCTATAGCAAAGACTCAGGAGTAGGAAATACTTTATTTTTACCACCCAAAAAACATCCGTCTTTGCTTGATGCCAGGCGATTTCACAACAAAACATCTAGGATGACTTGCGTTCTTCCAGAACTAATTCGTACATTTTTAACTCACCACACACTATAGTAGGCCTATTTTAGTCTATAATGACCCCCTAAATGTATTCCAATAGGGTAAGCCTGTACCACATAGGCCTACGGTATATCCTGTATTCTGAGCTCTACTGGTCAGTTGTTCCTGTATTAATGAAAACTGGGGTTTGTGTTTCAGTGTCCACGGGGCCACTCTGGGGGTTGGGTCCCTGTTGGCTGGTTTCATAGGGGAGTCTACCATGGTGGCCATTGCTGCCTGCTATGTCTATCGAAAACAGGTGAGAAAACCCATATACAAAGGGAGAGTAAAACTGTATAGCAGGGTTCCCCAACTGGCGGCCCAGGGGTGATTTTATTTGGCCCCCTAAGTTGAGCAATTTTTTATTGTTGGACATGAGACTAAAAACACCAGCAAGTAAGCTCCAAGTTATTTTAATTTAGGAAATCTGTTCCAAAGTATTCCCACACGACATATGTGACCGTATACAAATGCAAGCAAGGTTTGAAATGATTGTTTTAGTTAAATATTATATCCATTTGGGCTTCTTGTGGTCAATTTGTAGTTATGTTTCGGCCCACTGACCATCCACTGAAGAAAATAAATTGTCCCGTGCCTGAATCTAGTTGATGATCCCTGCTGTATGTAGTCATACAGTGAAGTACTAAATAACTCTAAATTGCTCTTCATTCCTTTCATCTCTTTCTTACCTTCCTTTTCTTTCGTGCTCTCCTTTTCAACAGAAAAACAATGAGATGGGCAGCGAGCTGGTGGAGGGAGAGGACTCTGCTCCTATGAGCGAGGTATGTTCCAGAACTCAGATGGATGCCATTGAAGAGCTCCAGGAGGAAGAGGAGGAGGAGGAGGAGGAGGAACAGGAGTAGAGGCACTTGGAGGGAGAGAGGCCGGAGAAATTGGAGCTGAGCTCCATAGAAAAAGGGAATTCCAGTGGAAGAGGACCATGGGTAGGCCCTAATACCGGACCTGAGAGAACAACTGAGGAATCGCACAGAGCGCTTAATAGGCTCCTTGAGTGGACTATCAGCTAATAATTAGAGTGGAGATCTGCCATGATGAGGAACACGCACTGTACAGACAAGCCATGCACTGAAATCCATGTAAATACCCTCCAATCCTCTGGACAATTAATGTATTCATGAACTGCAGAAATAGGATACGTATTAATCACTTTCATCATCGTGTTATTGCTAATTGAGCATGGGAAATAACTGACGCAGGAAAACCTGTCCTCCTCAGCAAAGGGAAATGTGTTGTGGAGAAATTGAAACATTATTTTACTTGGATAGTCAAGTATAAGAAGCACAGCTTTATTTTATTTTAATGCTGGAACATTTTAAAGGACCTGTGGAGTTGGGCAAGTGTATTTTACATTGAATAGTGTTCAAAGACTTTAGTTCTGTTTTTATATAGGCGACGGGAATTTGAAAAGTGTGTATATTAACTAGCAGAAAGGGGTCGGGAATCCCTCAGTATATTATTGTGTGTGACTGTGTTTACGTCATTATGCTTGTCCACTTAATGCAGTCTGGGAATCTGTACTTTCATTTTATTTTGACAAGTATAGCTATTTTCTTAATAGCACATTCTGACTGTTCGATGTACATATTGTAAAGGCATTATCTTATTTGGCAAATAAATTGTTATTTAAAGAGCCCATCATCTGACTATTGAAACATTGACACGTAGTGAGAATTTATTTTGAAAATATTGATTTTATTTCATTTAAACTCTGCAATCATACTGCACAAATTGAACACTGTAGAAAAGTGTTTACCCAAGTGGTATAATCAGTGTTAGCTTTGAACCTTTTCTTCCAAAATGGTCTCCAGGCAGTAATCACCAATTTTCACCCATATTGTGCATAAGTGACTTAAGGCAACATGGAGGACCAAGTCAGGCTTCATATGTAGAACCCAACTCAGAGGCTGGTGGTTTGACAATGAACCAGGAAACTGTTGCCAGTATCTGGATTTTGCAACAACATTGGCACAATGCATTTTCTCCAAGAGCACCTTGGTTAAAGGCAACATGTTACATATCGAAATAAGACCACACCTTCACTCGAGCGTATGGCAGCAAGCAGAGACCAAGCATGCCACTGACGCACAGAAAAATGATCAAACAAACTCCTCCCTACTGTACTCTAGTTTAAGCCCATCTCCAAATAAGTCACTGCTAACCTTACAAATGCCTCAAAATGCAATAATTGTGTATTTCATTGAGTTGTTCTTCTAAATTTGAGTACCATTAACTAACTGGTAGCTAAAATTGATTCAGGGTCATGGTTTCGGTGTCAAACAATGCCAAAATATGCTGTGAGGAATCGACCTCTGCGTACTGTAGCCTACTCTGCTCTCACCCTTTATGGATGTTTTAGTAACCATTTCTACCCATTAGTACCCATTTACACCTGCTATAAAAAAAAAATGCATCCTGTGATGGTGATACAGAACATGTGAACTGATATCTATTCAATCATCAGTTCTAGTCAGATTCCAAAAGCTATTTTTCACCAGGTGTAAATGGGGCCATAATGCCAATAGGCAGGAATATGTTCAGTGTTCACCCAGTCAACATGAGGAGTGCTCTCTGTTCTGCCTGCCATGAGCTTCTTCTTCAGTGGCAAATCAGGGACTTCAAGTCCAATCAGCTTGCAGTGAGGTCTTCTGGGACCTGGAGTCCATTGGGTTGGCCCACTGGGACGTTGTAGTGGCGGTCATCCTCTGTGACCAGACATACACAGGGCCAGTCTTCCTTATGGTCGTCGGGAAAATAGGTGACAAACTCCTCTGTGTGTGCCATGTACAGTCTGTAGACCTGGATGGTGCACTGCAAGGCATACCCCAGCAGAAACATCTCCACCTACACTCAGGAACCAATGAGATAGGGAGTTGATGCTTTATATTTATAAAATCATTATTACATATGTTTTTGAAAATTGGGTATTGAGAGTTAGTGGGAGTATTGGCATGGATCAGTATTGGATCCATTGTTTGAGGACTTTGAAAATGAACTTATCAGTAGAAGCCTCTTAAAAGTACTAGGGCTCGAATTTTGGTTTATTCTGATCAGTTGAGCGCTATAGCGCAAATTAAATTATGGTAATTTCCGATTGAGCCAACATATTGCAGCATTTACGTGAATGCAGTCTCCACGAACACGGGTACATTGCCTTTAAACTTCTATTGCGCTATAGCTCTGAATTGAATCGAGCCCATACTGTGTTATACATTCTTCCCTGATACACCGCTCTGTCATTGATGCTAAGCTTAAAATACAAACTCAAATGAATGTTCATCTCTGGCCTGCTCTGACCTTCCCAAGAGTCACTGAACAAACCAGAAAAGCCCTGAGGCTTAGGCTGAACTGCTGTTGAGGACATAAGAACAGATGGTACAGAGCAAGTGTGTGCATGTTAGACTTCAAGGTTTGGTTTGTGGGAAAGCTAAAACACACCCATCCTACTGTATCCTCTTGTTTTTGCTCAGCATTGAGTATGACTACCGGCTAAATGGTACCACTTCACTGATGGTTTGGATGGGAAAAGTACAGCTAAAATACCAACTTAAAAAGCCAAATGATCCTGGTTTATCACCAATTTAATTTAACTACCAGGAAAGACTGCAGTGTTGGGGAAAATATAGTTTACCAAGCTACCAATTACTTCACACTGGAAGAAGTTAAGCTACACTAAAGCTACCCTTAAAGGAAAATTCCACCCAAAAACGTTCATTAGGCCATTGTTGATATAGTCCCAAAATGTTTTGCTTGTCAGCAATCAAGTTTTCAAGATATGCAACTTTCAAAATAAAGAAATCTGATCCGTATGATGCAAAACACAGCATCATATGGGCCAGATTTCTTGAAACCTTGACTACTGACAAGCAAAACATTTTGGGACTATATCAACAATGGACTACTGAAACATACCATTTCTATGTGAATTTGGTCAGTTCGCCCAAAAAGGTACATATTGCAGCTTTAAGAAAAATATAGTTTACTTAACTAAAGTTACTTTGAAAAAGTAGTTCACTACATCCAAAATACTTTGTGAAAAAGTATAATATGTAAATCTGAAATGTCATAGAGTACAAATTGCAAGAACAGATAATTCTCAGATCAGTCTATTAAAAAAAAATATGTTTCAAGTTAGAATTAGGCAGGTCTGATGTTGAAAACGAAAGGACATGTCAACTTCACCCATAGTTTATTTTCATTTTGCAAAAAAAGTAGTGTAGTTCCAGTAGTTAGCTACCCCTCTACATGGCAATAACGTCATTAACTACTGAAAACACTATCAAGATTTTAATTTACTTCAACTACCACCAAGCTCCTGCAAAATGTAGTTAAATTACCAGTTGAAGTACATGTAGTTCACTACTCCCCAACACTGAAAGTGTGCTACTTATAACATTGAGAGACATTTAATTGATGCCTATGAAAACCCCATTAGAGAGAGTGCTTGGGCTTATGTATATACAGTGTTTACAGAAGTATGAATACATGTTCATTTGAACAGGGGAGGGGACCATTTTAGTGTGTTCTATTGGCATAAAGTATGTACAGGGGACCATGTTTGTGTGTTCTATGTCATCACAGCAACCGGGTGCTCACCTGCTCCAGCCCCCCGCTGAATCCCACTTGGCTCAGGTGGTTGGAGAGGAAGGTGCGTGGGCAGTCGGAGGAGTCGCGTGCGTAGAGCAGCCAGCAGAAGACAGGCACGTCCCCTCCCTCTTGCATGGTGGTGTGGAGCTCCACAGCCCGGCCCAGCATGAGGAGCTTCAGAGCCTCCAGCAGGCCCAGCTCCTCCTCCCCTCCCTGGAACACACGCTCACACAGACGCAGTCTCTCCTCCGCGCTGGAGCAGCCCACCGCCGCCTGCCACTGGGCACAACAACACACACGCCACATACTGTCAACATCACCATGGCTGGAAATCATATACTGCATGTATATTGAATTATTGCTATTTTCTCGACTGCAATTCACACACACACACACACACTGTCAACATTAGTATGGCTGGATATCATACTGCTCTTATCTCGCAATTCATGACTTCAGTGTCAGTCAGTTGTCACCATAATATGAAGGTGACAGTATGCACCATTTTCCCATTAGTTGGTGATGCTAGGGTACAGCTACCAACCATCTAACGACAGAGGGAGAAGTCTTTGAAGTGTAGAGTGTAATCAAGAACAGAATTCCTCCAGAGGTGGAATAGGCTGTTAGATGCCAGCCAGCTAGATGCCAGCCAGAGGTCTCATGTTGCGATACAGTCTACTCCCCACAGATGTATTAAACTGTTTCCTGAAGACTGAGGATCAATCTATCCTCTCTCCTTCTGTTTAATATTAGGCTGCTTCAATAAAACACAGCAATCCGCAAGGGAGGGTACAGTCAGTGCAGTATACCACAAACTGCTCTAAAACTGCCATTAAAACCCTCTTCCATGTGTTCATAATTACAACCATAAGGTTTGGGAATCACTTACATCTGCATTGAAAATCTGAGAAAAGACATTGGTGTTTGAGTCTTTACAAAGCGTACAGTGCATAGGGCTGGGTAAGGAAGGCATGGGCGGTACCCTGTTCTGGAGGAGTTTCATGTAGCGTTTGAGCTGTTGGACGGCGTCTTCTCTTCCCTCCCTCTGTCTGCACTCTGAGGGGAACATCCACTGGCCTATCAGGTCCTCCAGCTCCTCCAGCCACTGTGGAGAAGAAACAGGGTTGTATGCATTATGCACCAAACAGAAGAAAACTGATTAAAACAGGGAGGGACATCCTTGAACTTATCTAATAAGAAATGCACATGTTTGTTTTGCATTGCAAAATGTTTTGCTACGGTGTGCACTAATGAATGCGACCAAAATACAACAGACTATAACGGCAAGCCACACTGACCATCAGGCAGCTAATGTCCACTTAGCTTTATACTGGGGTCGTAGGTATAGCCAGTATGAGGCATTATGACTTATATAAAAGTGTCAGAGTGTACACAGCGTTAGTTATGCAAGCATTGTGTACCATGGAGATGTGTTCATCCTGCAGCCAGACAGGCAGCTGGGTGCTGGTGGAGAGCACCTGGAACAGAGTGGCTCGGAGGGCACAGTAGTTATCTCCTCTCACCCGTCTCAGGCTCCCAAACCTCTGAGACAACTCAGTGTAACCCTGGGACCAGACAGGAAGAGCAAACTAGCATGAATCGTCATCTTGTAAGAATGTCCTAAATATTCACCTTGGCAACAAAAACAGGGGTGGTGGGGCGGTCAGTGGCGCCCTTTCCCCCTACTGCGGATTCCATCTTTAAAGGTCAAAAAATGAAATAACCAATCCCAGATTTCCTTTTTAAAATATAAGATCATAGTAACTGGCTAATCAACTGACCTTTCTAATAAGGGTACTTTTGGCAGTGTTTCCCTTCCACTCTCTCTCACTGTAGGACATAATATCCAACGTCGGCTCCAGACTGCATCTGTCCTCAACCTTTGGAACTGAGATAGGGAGAGAATAGTGAGAAAGAGAATATTAATATTAAATCAAAATATTTGTGGGTATACCATTAAAGGAGACACAAAGGAAATCTGAAAGTGACTGACGTGTGATTTCAAACAGTGGCTCCGGTCCTGCATGTTTGACTGGCCCCTGGGGGAGCTCTTCAGCTCCTCGATACAGGTCTTCCTCGCTAAGAAGCGGAAGATAGTTAATGATAATGTTATTATTAACATGTCAAATAATATACAATAATTTTGCTTCAATTATGTGACATTGACACTGATCTGCAGTCAGTTCTGCGGTACAAAGAGAGACTTTGACAAACCTAACTCCCAGATCCTCCCCAGCAGGACCATCTCCCTCCCTCACTGGTAACACCTCCAAATCAGCTGAGGTGCTGGGCCCCCGAAGGGCCTCTCCTTTTTGGACCTCCTCCCCTCCAGTCTCATCCCCTGTCATGGCTCCTGCAGCAGCACTCTCCTTCATCTCCTCCTTTTCCTTCTGTTCCTTTGTTTCTGGCACTTCTTCCTCCTCTCCTTCATCTAAGAGGTCTTCCAAAGATGGGACTTCAGTCAATCCACACTGGATACCTTCCTTCTCTTCTTCACAGGAGTTTTGACTGGAGAGAAGTCGATAAAGCCATTCTATGAATTGCATGCGTTTACACTTTACGTTATACAGGCAGGCATCGCACCCTAAATTTCATGAGAAGAACATCTCTACTGTCATGGTCTTATGTTCTTAAACCACATTCCTCTTGTACAGTCTGGCCTCAGGCAAGGCACAATGTTAGTACCGTTCTAATGTTCAACTGTAGAAGATGATACTTTAATCTACCTTTTGAGGAATAATGTATGTATGTTCACAGCAGGAAACATAGATCAAATCACACTCAAAATAACAGTGGAAAGCCATAGGTGTAGAGATTTGAAAGGCCTTTCCAGGAGAAAAGTAATGTGGACCACTCAAAGTAATTAATTCCTATCACTCAAACTCAGTTCACTATTAATCATGGTCGTATAGGAAACCTCAGCTGGAGGGTTGAATTTTTTTTTTGCTTCACTCTTAGGATATGAAGGACTGCATTCCTTTCGATATTACATCACAGAGATGGTTGAAAGTAGTTATTTTTTTCAGCACCTGCTCAAATCCCATTGCGTGATATTACTTTTATGGTCTTTGGATGCCCCCTAATGGTTGCAAAGGAAATTACAACATTTTTATACCGTTTATTTAATTCCGTTTATTTCAATGAGTTGTGATAACGAACATTTCCATTGTAAATCTGAGTCTACTCACCTGTTGCTGGTCTTAGAGGGACACATTTTCACTGGTTCCTTCACTAGGCCAGTGAAGTTTAGAGGAACCAGACCATTCTGGGTGGGCTCTGTAGCTTCTGTTAAAGCAGGAGAGGCCTCTGGATCCTGTGGACTATCATCTAGGTGCGCTACAGAGCTCCTATTCTCTTTATCATCAACCCCCTTTATCACAGTACTATACATGAGAAGACAGGGAGGAAAGATGTATGAAATACACACTGTAAATACACAAAGAGTCACCCATAAAGTCCCAATGGTTTGAACTGAAGCTATAGCCGTTTTAGCCATAGACGTGTGACTTACCTAGTGGGAGATGGAGATGAGGGCAAGTGAGGGACACTGTCAGTAGATGCTGCCTCCTCAGAGGCCTCTGGTGGGGTGAGCTGGGTGTCTGGGAGAGATGTGACCTCCACAGTGCCAAGACAACACTTCTCTGGCTCTGACAGTACATCCACCGCATTGTGGAGGGGTATTGTTGAAACCTCATCCACAGTTTCAGAGGTAATGGATTCTACTGGTATCTCAGCTTTGAGGGAGAAGGCTTCAGGGCATTTGTCCTTAGCATCGGGTGTAATTGTTATATTATCCGAGTGTTCATTCTGGACCACAGGGGAGGTCTGCTCAGCAACAGCTTCTATCTCAGCCGGGACCTTCTCTGCATCTCCTCCTCCTCGGGCATCTTCCTTATGGGGACCCTGGGGAGGATCTGAAGTGCAAATCTGAGCTTCTACATTTGTGCTCTCTGTGGCTATATCCTCAGTGCTTTTGTCCAGTGCTGTAAGGATGGAGTTTGCTATGAGTCCAGTGTCTGTGATGGGAGAGGGTTCTTCATCCTCTCTGTCTTCTGTCTGGAGGAGTCCATTCTTCTCTATAGTCTGGGGCTGGGCAGTGTCTTCCTTTCTATTGGTTTTGGGAGAGACACTGCGCCACACCTGCACAGTCACAACAGCCACCTCTTTCTCTTTATTTTCCTCTGCATCGTCTCCTCCCGCTTTCCTACGACAAACCATCCATGGAAACAAAACTAACATGTTTCAAAATACATGTACTACCAGGCAAAAGTATGGGAGACTACAAGTGCTTCATGTGTTTGCCAATGGTTTGACTTGTTGATTCAAGTGGTGTGTTCCCACTGGGCACAGACGTCAGTTCAACGTCCAGTTTTGATTTACATTTGGTTGAGTTGTCAACTAACTATTTAGGTTAGAAGTTGGGTGAAAAAAAATACGAAATGCCCTTATGTTGATGGTTTTTGCAAATCCAATCAGTTTCCACATTGATTCAATGCCATCACATTGTTTTTTGGGGTTGAAATTACCTGGAAACAATGTTGATTCAACCAGTTTTTGCCCAGTGGGTTTTGATTGCAGTCCAATCAAGATAATAAAAAACATGACTGATTTAATTAGGTAACCAATAGCAGTGTTGAGTCATAATCTTACCTCACTTCAGAATCTGCTTTGGAACCATTGTGGAATCCAGCGACCTCTCCACATTCTGAGGAGGATGCTGGATCCTTGACACCCCCATGAAGTAACCCACTTCTTTCCTCCACATTGTCACAGGGACTAGCAGCAGGACAACACCAGTTCCCCATTCCCACTTAGACAATGCACGCCCTCTGCCTCTCGAAAGTAGGTCTTGGGTAAAATGGTGTAACGTTACTCTGAAATCCACAGGGTCTTGGTTCCTACCCTGGTAAATTAGAGGAGCTTATTCTGAGATATCCTGAGATTGTAGGTCCATTAGAAACTGTTCAAAGCATCTGTAAAACCTGACCTGATACACTATAGGACAGAGAGAGGATACCACATCCATGCTGTGAGAGCCAAAGCCATTCTGTAACTTCAGGATGTATTGTTGGTCCTGTGAGCAAAAGAGAACATGCAGCAGAGGAGGCTGGAGGAGGGACTATAGGAGGACGGGCTCATTGTAATGGCTGGAATGGAATATATGGAACGGTTTTGAACACATCAAACATATGGAAACCACGTTTGACTCCGCTCCATTTACTTTTTTCCAGACATTACAATGAGCACGTCTTCCTACAGCTCCTCCCACCAGCCTCCACTGACATGCAGTGAAATAGAACATTAGATGTGCTATTTATTTCACCCTTGTATGCAGTAGCCTATATCTTTATACTGGCTGGAATATATGTATACTGACTAAAATTACATGAGGAGCAATGGCATTCAAATGACTTTTTACAAGGGTCCCATGTAGCTCAGTTGGTTTCCCACGTGGGGCCAGTATGATTTTTTTTTTTTATGTATGCACTGGATAAGAGCGTGTGCTAAATGACTAAAATGTAAATGTAAAAAAATATATGCGCATGCGCTATTTGGACCGTCTCCGCAGGCGGCTGTGTGAGAGAAGAGAAATGGTCGCAATCTGGGATCCTTGTGAGGTCCCTACCTAACGGTTTTAAACTTCCACTTCAATTGAGTAGGACCGTCCCAAGGAACCCGTATAGCAGAGACCGAAGAGAAATCGCGGCACCTCACCTTGATGTTGCTTGTTTACCACAATCCGGTGCTTCGATAGCCCTTCGGTTTCGATACATTTTCCGAAAAGACATAACATACTGTATCATTCACGGCTGGGCTGTCATAGACGCTCCTCGAATCGTGAGAATGTTGTTTAGCTAATTCTACTGACTGGCGTGATCAACGCTTGTGCCACCCCGTCCGATGCACGGAAGTGCGATAAATAAATGTGGAGGGTGTGTCTTCCAACAGCAAGAAATTTGTAGTGTAGCGAACCATTACAGTTCATGACAAATATTGTGACGTAGATTCTTGGAAAACGTTCCATATCATTTGTTGTGACATTCCTGAGAACGTTAGGATAAGGGTTATCTGTTGTGTTAGTCCTTCCAACATTGTAGCACAGCTAAGCTAGCAAGCTAATAATAACAACAGTTTGCTACAATGTTACAAGCAGCATGAGCTCGAGACAAAATAGCTGCATACGCAGGAAGTTTAGCGCACGACAGTTTCATAATTTGGTCTGAATCTCTGACAGCTCAGGTTTGAAAAATGTGATTATTGGCAAACATACACACAGCATAATGCTATGGATATATCCATGATCTACATACATTCCAGACTCCTATGTCTACTTACTTTCAATGCTGACGGCTGCTGTACACGGTTCCAAAATATAGTTTTACAGGTGTCCCACTTGTTGATAAACCTCGTTCTGCGCGAATGGGAGAGTATTTGACAGTGAAACATATACAACAAAGATGTTGGATAAATGAAGATGTCATACTCAGCCTTTTACCATTGCGGGGTCACTGTTCCGGTCTGCTTAAGGTGCAATATGCAGAAATCGCTCCGCCATTTCCTGGTTGCTAAAATTCTAATAGTTCGCCTAATTTCATGTGACAAAACAAGCAGTCATTGTGTAGATAATCATTGTACCATCTAAACCGCTGTGAAATATATTATCCATAAACCAAAATATTGTATTTTCAGCGGTTTGAAGCTGGTGTACAAAACCGAAAGTAAAAGCAAAAACTAAACTTCAGAAGGGGAAGCATAGAAATAGCACACATAGAACATATGTCGCTTCTTAGACTTGCTTTCAATGAGAATGACTTCTTCTTCTGTGGGTTTAATGGCGGACTACATCAAAAAGTTATATTGCCGCCACCAACTGGACGATTTGAAACCAAAAATAAAAATAAAATAAATCCATACTTAATAGTGATTCTAACAATCCACCCTAATAAAAATAGTACATTGCCAAAACAAACAAAACTCCCACTTCTTCCTTTTAGTTCTCCATATCTCCCTTCCCAGGCTCTAGGTCCTGAGAAGGTGGTACGGCTTTTGCTAATATTCCATGTAACTCCTTTGCTGTGAAATCTTTCAACCCCAGGAACCGCTCTGCCGCAGTCACAATCTTCCTAGATCTTTTCTCCACCTTAGCAGTGCCATTTATCACTATTGCGATAAAGGCCACAAAGTCCACCTTTTTAACCATTAAAATGTCAGGATCATCTTGGTGAAAGGCAACCCCTGCAGCTTGCATTGAAGGCCTATCCACCACCATGGACTCTTCAGGAGCACCATTCAAACCCTCAACCCTTTTAACCGCTGCTGCATAGGAAATGCTCTATACAACCCTAACTTTGGCCACCTCATTTTCTTTCACCCTTGTCGGGCATTCAAAAGACGTGAGTTCCTGTTTCCCACCACAATTGCAACATTTCACATTTTCATCACATTTATAACACATTAAATTATATTTTCCACAACTTGGACATCTCGGTTTCTCCCTTCTGCAAACCCTTGACACATGACCAAAAGCTTTACAGTGATCACACTGCATTGGTCTTGGGATAAATGCTCTGACTTTGTAGTTTATATACCCCAACTGCATTTGAGTAGGGAGAGACTCCATATCAAAAAACAAAAGAACAGATAAACTCTTCACTTTTTCATCATTCACCACTCGATTCATCTGACGTGCATCAATCACTCCAGGAATATTTTTAATCTCTTTAACACCCCTTGAGGGGTGCCCTGTTACGAAGAGACACGTCAAACTTTTCAAATCGGGAGAGCCGCAACACACGTTCCTTCTGATCCGCAGAAGTACAAAAAATGAAAACCAACCTGCCCCTCGTGATCCTCACATCCTTCACTTTACCCATCACTCTCTCCACCAGTTTGGATAGCTCAAATGGATTCTTCAAGATTGGTATTTCGATAAGCTACTCCTCATTAACAAACCTTACTCCTACAATATATAAATGGACGTTCTCCATGCTGTACCCTACTTTGCTCCTTTTTCCATTCTTTTGAACAATACTCCAATCCTCCTTGATTCTACCGCCATTAGATTCACAGTCCACTTCATCGTCCGCCTCCGCCATCTTTTCGAATCTGTCGTAGCCTCAACTGTCCTTCCCGCGTTGTCTATGCCACGCCTCCTACCTGGCTCCAATGAGAATGACAGATCTACAACTCAAATTTCTTTGTGAATTTGGTTGGGTCTGACATTAATTTGACAAAGCTGGATCCCTTCTAGCCATGACCCTTGTTAATCAATGACTGTATGAGTGGAGGCTGGTGGGAGGAGCTATAGGAGGATGGGCTCATTGTAATTGCTGGAATGGAATTAATAGAACGTTCTCAAACATATGGAAACCACATGTTAGACTCCATTCCAACAATTCCATTCCAATGAGCCCGTCCTACTATAGCTCTTCCCACCAGCCTCCTCTGGTATATATGACTTGTTAATGTCCAATAGTGGAAGTCCAGTCACCATTCTCTCTCTTTCCATTTCCCCTGAAAACCAGAACATCAGGTCGTTGGGGACTCGCAAAGATTATGAATATACTGACAAGATACATGTCTCTCCGCCCTAACAATGGGAGTCGTTGTCAGCGGGCTGTCTAGCTCCCGACTACTCTTTCTTTGGATTGGTGGATACATCTCATTATTGTTATCCTTTTTTGAATATTCGATAAGGGTTGTTGACGTCAACCGCCGGTGTTCAATGGAGAGAGATGTTATTCTACTAGCCTAATTTCATGAATATGCATAGCCATCTCGAGACAATTCCGATATAAAGTGTTTTTTCTCAAAGTTGCCGGGATGTCACGTGTCCTACTTAGGTCAGTACACTCTTAACAACTTAAGTATTACGAAACTTCTATTTGATCAAATAAACCTCACGTAGCAAATAAGCCATAAATGTTTTGTTGACCAATTTCGACACTCTCTCATTGACCTCCATACAAAAACTCCTTGCATGGTGGGCAAAACAACGAAAAATTGCCACCTGCTGGAGGGAGACAGATTTTATGCCGAGTTGGGCATTTATCTTCCTCTTTCCCTCTAGGACTCCACAGAGACTACCAGAGATATTATAAAAGGAAAAGATAAGAATCCAAGCGGGAAATGAATGGAGAAACGTATACCGCTCCGTCCAGCAAACTCTAGACCAATTGCGTTCACGTTGTCATGCTGCGTCACGCGGTTGCTAAATTAATCTTCACGCAAGCCATTCTAATTAAAGTCAGGGTATGAGTCGAGATACCGGCCTATTTTCTCGAAAGTAGCTAATGTCACGATTTCAAAGCTATACGATATTACAGAGGACGAGTTAATTATCTTAAATCCTGGAAAATATTTTTAATGTTGAGCTTCTTGTTCATGTAATTCGTGCTCATGTTGGGTTTTTGTGCTCTTGCCAAATTGACTCCCATTTACGGAAGTCCAGAGAGGACATATGAATAAACAAATAATTCCGTCATTATGTTGAGATCACAACTTATTTATCTCATGATCACAACAAAACAAAAGTTGTTTTGTCGAGATCACGAGATAATCAAAAGTATCACGCATCATCCATTCATTTGTTCAGATGCAAGATAACCACCTCTTCAAGGAGCCCTGTGATCTCGTAAGGCATTTAAGCACTGAAAGATGCCTGACAGGCAGCTCTGTCTCCCAGGCTGCGTGCCCTTCCAAGACTTCAGCCAATTGTGTGCAAGGAACAACGCAGCTAACTTGGCTAGACTTGTGAGCTAGCTAGCTAGTTATCTATGCTGATAGTTAGCTTGCATGTGCCCTTGAGCAAGGCACTTAACCCTAATCCCTGCCTTATCTTAGCTCATTGGTCACCATAGCAGCACCCACCCGTAGTCTGCGCTCCAGCAGGTATATCTCACTGGTCATTCCCAAAGCCAACACCTCATTTGGCCGCCATTCCTTCCAGTTCTCTGCTGCCAATGACTGGAACAAATTGCAAAAATCTCTGAAGCTGGAGACTCTTATCTCCCTCACTAACTTTAAGCATCAGTTGTCAGAGCACCTTACCGATGTCAAAGTCGCGTCAATTCAAATCTGGTATTAGGAACAAAAGAGGTCAACACGACTTCTAAGATATACTAGTTATTTTAATTAATGCAAAAACCTTCAATGGTAAATATGATGTTTCGTATATACGGGCTCTCTGAGATACCTCGCAGGGCACCCCAGAGAACTAACACATTGTTTCAGATCCAATACTCAAATACTCTGACAGAGGGAATTTCCCACTTCTCTGCTGACCAATTAGAGTAGAGACTTGAGCGTGGTTTAAACTTTACTCAGCCAATCCGTTGATGCACCCCTGTTGCCAGCCTCTTCTGTTACCAGGCATACGTTCATCATAACAACCTATCATAGTGAGAAGAGCCAGCTCCCTTAGACATCATTCCTACATCCAAGGAAGGTTCACAGATCACAAAGAACCAGTATATTCCAGCATCTGGAGACACAATCCTTATCTCATTTTACCCCCTAAAACAGCTCTTCACATCAATCACAGCGTGCCAGGTGTCACAGCCTACATTAGCCCAGTCAAGAATGCATTCTTTCTAAGTTAGTCATCCCATCAATTTAGGAGAATAATAAATCCCCAATAATCCCCATTTTCACACCTAATAAGGTGTGATTCAAAAAATAAGAAAACACAGATTGTCATTCATTATAATACAATACAAACAAAAAATCACACTTTTATTTATAGGCCATACTGATACTAAAAAATTAAAACCCTCAGTCCATCTACACCCCACTTGCAAATTGTTACCAGTCATCAAAGAACTTCAAATCATCACATAAGGAAAGACAAACATTCACATGGTTAACTTGATTAATAAAGCATAAAACACAGGATTAATAGAACACAAAACATAAGACTATTAAAACATAAAACACAAACAGAGAAGTATATTTTGGCCCCCTTTAGACACCCTCTAGTGTCACTCCACCAAGCCTGGTAGGTCATATCCTTAATTCCTTAGGTCGGAGTCCAGGATTGGGCCGTATCTCACCATCTGTTGGGAAATCACCTTCTCCATCTCCTTTCTCACCAAACCTCAGACACAGGAAATAAGACAACATCCACAAAGAACAAGTATACCCATAGAAGCTATAACTTCACCCAGAATAGTTACAACAATAGTTTTCCATTTACCAAATATGTTATCAAACCAACCGTTTATGGAGCTATCAATACCAGATCTCTCAGCCAGTTCATTCATCAGTGCAGTTACTCCCCTGAAGCTCTTTTGTCACTGACCCGTCCGGTGCTATATTGTTTGAGGATGAAAATACAGCACATAGATCCAAACAGAACACAAACTCCGCCCCTCTCAGCCAAAAGCATATCTAAAGCTATTCTATTCTGCCATGTCATTAATGTCACGGTTTCGGCCGAGGCTGCTCCTCTTCCTTGTTCGGGCAGGCTTCGGCGGTCGTCGTCTCCGGAGTACTAGCT